ACCCGCTCCCACTTCCGCTGCAATTGCCTAGGCAATTGGAAGCAAAAGTTGTCCTCCCCCCCTCTCTTCCCGTAGTCTTCTGGGACATGTGACAGGTCACAGAAGACTATGGGGCCATTCACAAAGCACAGTAACAAACTGTCACAGCCAGGTGCCCACTGAAGATGCCGATGCTGGGGAGAGAAGATGGCCAGTGAAACCAGCCATGGTGAGGACACTGCTGGACCAAGGGAAAGGTAAGTGTCTGTATTTTAAAAGTCAGCAGCTACAGTTTTTGTAGCTGCTGACTTTTTTATTCTTTTTTTCAGCTAAAAAGGTTCGAGCACCAGCAAGTTATCTTACAAATGTTCAAAAATGCTGCAATACGTTTATACTGTAACATCATTTCTAAGGTAAGCACCATCTCTCAGGCTGGAGACACTCAAGAAATGGTCACACACAGCCTATGAGAACTCACTGCATAGGTGCGGATAGTAACAAGAAGATTTCATCCTCAGATTGTAAAAACTGTGGAAGGCTGCAGGATCATTTTCAGGCACGCTTATAGAAACTACACAGGCAAAGAGACTGTTGTGCCACAAATCAAGTCAGTGGCAATTAATTGTGTATTCTGGTCAGGCAGTGTCTCCCCTCAATAAGTCCTAATGTTTGTTGGGTGGGAGACTTACCTTTCATTGGTCAGCTTTATTTCATGTCCTTCTCAGCTAGCACCAGAAGGGAGGCAAAACTTCTAGAGACTACATATCCTTCCCAAGAACAGCTTCATTTATCAGTGCAATGATTTTATTATCATTAGGTTGAAAATGCTGTTCTCTGGAATCCAGTGTTTCCCCATTCTTTTAATGTTTTGGGTCACTTTATTATCACCTTTGGATGGTCACAAAGCTTGCAAGGTTGAGCAGCATAGTTAAAGTGGTTGTAAAGGCTCATGGATTTTTACCTTCACGCATTCTATGCATGAAGGTAAAAAACCTTCTGTGTCAGCACCTCCAGCCCCCCTAATACTTACCTGAGTCCTAATCGTCATCTATTGATGTACACAACAGCCTCGGCTGTCGCTGTCCCGGGTCTCTGACTCCTCATTGGCTGAACTAGCAAGAGGGAGTCATTGGCTCCCACTGTTGTCAATCACAGCCAGTCAGCAAATGAGGAGGGGGGGTGGGGCCAAGCCGCAGCTCTGTTCACACGCAGTAGGGCTTGGAACACACCTGCTCGGGTGGCCCCATAGCAAGCTGCTTGCTGGGGGGGAACTAGACAGAAAGGAGGAGCCTGGAGTGCCAGCAAGGGACCTGAGAAGAGGTGGATACAGGCTGCTCTGTGCAAAACCACTGCACACAGTAGGTAAGTATAGACATTTTCATTTTCCTTTAGAAAACTTTTATACTCATGAACGCATTCTGCTCATAGGAGTTTGTTGTGTAGAAAAAAAAACCTGTACTAAAATCCTTTTAGATTCAAAGTGTTCTGTTCTGTAAAGATTAGTGTTAAATATTCCTTACATAAAACTGGCCATAGATGGATAGAAATTCAAACAAAAATTTTTAGGAAAAGTCTTAGGAAAATTCATACGGAAATTCTCAAAAAATTCAAATGTCTTTTGAAACTTTTGTTTGCTTTTAACATTTGATTTTTGAATGGACTTTGCCGAACAAAACACACACACAACAGTTAGAAATTAATTTGTTCAAGAAAATTTCTGCTCAAGATAAATCCTACTTATTCAAAATCATGCACCAAAAACTTTGATTTGATCCACTTATAATTAGAAAAATTAACAAATTATCTTAGAAAATGCCCTTGTAGCAGCGTATGGGTTCCCCCCTGCTGTGACCATCACAGCAGGTCACATGTCAGTTGTATACAATGGATGGCTTCCTTTCATGCCATCCATGGTTGAATGGTCACAGAGATCACATGCACAAGCTGGGCCAATCACAGCCCAGCTGTGTCATGTGATTAGCCATGGCCAAATCACAGCTATGCACAAAAAAAAAAAACCCTGAATGAATTTATTCAGGCGAATTGCTAATACTTATAGCAAAGTAATTCTTTGCTATAAGCAAATTGTGTAAAAAAAAAAAAACTGATGATCACTTCCCCAAAGTAGTACAATGTTACTGTGGTAACATTATACTACTTTGGTCATAATGAAATATGAAAAAAAAAAAAAATCTTAAAAAATGAGAAAATTTAATACAAAATTAAAGCGAATAAAAAAATAAAAAAAATTATCTTTTTTTTTCGTAGTGTCAACAGTCAGTGTCCCTGATCACCACCATGCTAGTTATATGATGCTGTACTGCACTGGTGACAGTATGTAAAAAATAAAATGGTGAAAACAATTTTTTTAATCTTTTCATTTTCCGAACATTTATGACAAAAAAATTACAACTTCAAAAAACTAGCCATGCCTGTTATGAAATACGTCAGACTGTCTACTTTGCAAAAAGTGGTCATTTGGGGGATATCTGTACTGTTCTGACATTCTTGGATCTCAAGAAATTAGATTGGCCATCAATACTTCAGGATTAATCAATTTTCAGATATATACATAGTTTGTGAACTAACTTTTCTGCAAAATAAAATTTTTTCAAAATTTCAGTCTTTTTTTGTTAATTTAGCAAAACAAAAACCCCAGTGTTGATTAAACACCACCAAAAGAAAGCTCTTAGTTGTGTGAAGAAAATGATAAAATTTTAGTTTGGGTACAGTGTTGTATGACCGTATGTCATTCAAAGTGTGAGAACGCTGAAACCTAAAAAATGGCCTGGGCAGAAGGGGTAAAAGTTCCCTGTATGGAGGCAGTTAAAATGTTCTAAGAATATTTTATTAAGCTGTCTTTTTTGTTCCCTTTAACCAAGTGGCGATTACCTTTGGATGGCCTTCAAGTGCGGCCCTTGACATGTCCAATGGAGCCCTACCAATGGCATATATCTTTAGAAAGATAGTACCACGCTGCACAAAAAATGGACCTGAACTATTTTTGTAAGTCAGCACATGACAAAGCACAGATTATTCACATTATTCACATCTGCGTGCTGTGGTGCACAAAACGATGCAGGTGTGTTGTAGTGTGCTGTGTATGAACATTATGGTGCTACTGCAACTCAATAGTCTCAAAGAGCCCAAATACAGAAAATAGTTTTCTTCCAGTTTTGCAAATAAGCATTGTGGTAATGTGTGTTAATCACAATTCAAAATAATGGCTGTGCATTGCTTTTGCAGTGCCATTCATTATGAATGGTACTCCAATGCACCTGCATCAACATGTACCTGTCTTGCAATATACCTGCATTGCAGTCTACTACAATGCACAGATGGAAACAAAAAGTCCATCCAGACTTACACAAGGTAATGCACACTATGCATTTTGGTGTGAGCTTTATGCACTTCAAGTTCAATAGGTGGCTGTGCAAGTAGTCTCTCTCCCAACTTTCTTCCATATTCTTCTTCCTTTTTTCCATACTTGCTTAGTATCTGGGTTCCTTCCCCAGGATTGATATGCACAGACAACGAAGACACAGATCAAATAAACGTCTCATCATTAGTCAGAAAGAGGTAATACCAAGCAAGACATGTGCATTAGCACAATAATAGCCTAATCATTAGACAAAGTTCAGTAGTAGATGGAACTACCTTCCTAATTGCCTGCACACAGCTTCTGAATCTCTGCTGTCAATGAGCATTTGTACAGACAGCCTCTGGTTTTACTAGTAAGCAGGAGATATCAGATCAGCAGAAGAAGTATTGGCCACAGTTAATTTTTTTTTTTCTCTTCCTGGTGCTCAAATTTTTCAGGCTTTGACACTGCTCCAGGTGGCTGTCACATTCAAAGGCATGAGAAAGTGCTGAAAAGACATGTTAAGCATTGTCTAACCTTATTGTGCTAACATTATTACAAGTATTTACCACTATAGTATGGTGAATACGAGTGCATACCAATCAGTCTGAAAAAAGTGCATTGTGCAATAAATATCAGTCTTTCTGCTCTACAGAGCAGATTAAAAAACTATTTTCAATACTTAATTTTCTTATTTATACATACTGATCATGTGACATTTAATCACTTGCAATCAATGGGTGGAACAAGCAAATCTCTGACACATCCTACAGATGTCACTGCAGGAACTATTCTTTGTTTTGCCATGGCTGCCCAGCACATATTAAATGCTAGCTAAAAACTATACAATTACTGTATGTACTGTATTCAAACTAATAGATGTGTTTCCATTAACACATGTAATCCATCTGTTTTTTTTTATAAAGCCGTATATTTTTAGATATAGGGAGCAATTTATGTAACATTTAACACTATTAATTGAATACTGACAAAAGAGATTCAAGTAGTTCATAATGCAAATATAAAAATGTTCTATTTTTAAGTTCTCATTGAAACGTATTGTGGACACAGAAGTAACAGTTATGCATAAATCTCTTCAGTCCCAAATAAAACATTTATGATCAAATTATATATATAGATATATATATATATATATATATATATATATATATATATATATATATATATATATATATATATAGATATATATATATATATATATATATATATATATATATATAGTGGGAACTTGCTTCAACGTGGTAGAGCTTTTAAACGCAAACAGCTACTCGCTTTCTTTTTCAGGGCCTTTTTAGCCCACTTTTATTTAAATGAAAGTTCAAACAGAAGTTTCCCACACAGGGGTATCGATCATCCACAAAACAACGGTTCAGCCTCCTGGCTTACACTCAGCTTGCTGTCTGTCTCCTGCAGACTTCTTCCCAAAAATATGGCACTTGCACACCGCTGGCCTCTAGCACACAGCTAGTCTCTAGCAGCCCCTTGCTGCTTTTGGCTTCCACCTCTCCTAGGTGAAGCCCACCTGACTTCCAGGCAGTGACCTCCCGTCTTCCAAGTGGAGCCCTCCTGACTCCTATCTGCCAGGGTGGAGCCCAGAACCCTGGTCCTGACTCTATGAAGAGGCCTGCACACACTTGTGCAGTTTCCTGGCCATTCCCAAAACCTGGTCCCAGGATTGGAGATTTCATCCCTCCCAAATCGCTTCGAAATCAGCTCTCACTTACAGGGGTCCAATCTGGTCTGACCATACCTTTCCTAAAGGGGAACTCTACCCAATGACTCCTTTGGTGTCTCTCCCCAAGCCCCATTGTCACTCTGCTATGGGCTCTAATCAGACCTTTTGAATGTACTTTTTGTGATAAACTTCCCAATCAGCCCAATCTATCTCAAAAATTCAATAAACCAACATATTCCAAAAGGTGATGATCAAATCTAAACTAAAATAATAATAAACCACCCCTCTATATATATATATTCCAAAATCATCAAATATAAATAATAAAATAACATAAATAAAATAAAATATAATAAATTAAAATATATATAAAAGTGTCCAAATCTCCAAAAAATAATAATAATAATAATAAGTGTCCAAATCTCCAAAAAAGTATGTAATATAAACAAATAAATGTCCAAAAAATCCCAAGAAAAACAAAAACGTTCTTTATGTGTTCAGTGAAGCAAAACGATTCTCCAAAAATGCCTTGTTATCCTCAAAAGTAAAAAGAAAAAATATATCATAGTGTAATATCCTCAAACATATATATATGCTTCACACTGTGCAAAACTCAAATCACACCAAAAATAGTGAAAAATCAATAAATAAAAATAAACGTGAGAACTCGTGATCACTCCAATCTCAAGTGAAAAATGATACTAGGTACCAATATCCTATATACTCCAGCCAAAGTAGATGCTAAATACCATTACCCTCTTATGGTATATTAAGGGCATATACTGTTAGATAAGAAAGGCATTCCTCCATCACTCTTATCCCGGGGTATTCCTCATATGGACAAAGAGAAGGCTCAATCAGGCAGATTTCATAAAAAGATATAAATTTATTCCACACTTACATGTAAAAACACTTTATCCAGCTTTCTGTACTGCACATTTCAGTCTCTGGTTTAAAAAACGATCGTTTCCAACGATGTTGGAAACGATCGTTTTTTTCAACCAGAGACTGAAATGTGCAGTACAGAAAGCTGGATAAAGTGTTTTTACATGTAAGTGTGGAATAAATTTATATCTTTTTATGAAATCTGCCTGATTGAGCCTTCTCTTTGTCCATATGAGGAATACCCCGGGATAAGAGTGATGGAGGAATGCCTTTCCTATCTAACAGTATATGCCTGAATATACCATAAGAGGGTAATGGTATTTAGCATCTACTTTGGCTGGAGTATATAGGATATTGGTACCTAGTATCATTTTTCACTTGAGATTGGAGTGATCACGAGTTCTCACGTTTATTTTTATTTATTGATTTTTCACTATTTTTGGTGTGATTTGAGTTTTGCACAGTGTGAAGCATATATATATGTTTGAGGATATTACACTATGATATATTTTTCTTTTTACTTTTGAGGATAACAAGGCATTTTTGGAGAATCGTTTTGCTTCACTGAACACATAAAGAACGTTTTTGTTTTTCTTGAGATTTTTTGGACATTTATTTGTTTATATTACATACTTTTTTGGAGATTTGGACACTTATTATTATTATTATTATTTTTTGGAGATTTGGACACTTTTATATATATTTTTAATTTATTATATTTTATTTATTTATGTTATTTTATTATTTATATTTGATGATTTTGGAATATATATTAGAGGGGTGGTTTATTATTATTTTAGTTTAGATTTGATCATCACCTTTTGGAATATGTTGGTTTATTGAATTTTTGAGATAGATTGGGCTGATTGGGAAGTTTATCACAAAAAGTACATTCAATAGTTTATATTCACTTCCTAGGGAGGAAGTAGTGTTTTGTGGCTGTATAGGAGCTTTTTGATTGATCTAATCAGACCTTGCCTACTCTTTTTCCGGGTGCATTTCCATAAACACTTTCTCTCTTGAAATCCTAATGGGGTCCCCCTGGCCTTTCTATCAACCTGTCTGCCCCTTTGCTTCAGGTGCTCAGGTTTCTTAATACCTCTCTCAGAAATTACTGTCCCAAGGCTGTAGGGGAACTATTTCTACTGTATTTGTACCGGGACCACCCCCCCTTATTTCTTGTACCTTTAGCTATCAAACCTGCATGACTCATTACCACAGCATTCAGTTTACCATGAACCGTTATATTCCAGTCAATATTACACCTTTCAATATCTTTTCCAGCAATTGTTAGGACAGTGTCTGTAAAGGGCACACACACACCATAGGGCAGCCATTACCCACGTGAACCTCACAAAATGCCACTTCACCTGGTGTCATGCACTCTGCAGGTGGCCGTCCAACCATTTTAACTTTTCCTACACCACTTGGATCTGTATCCAAACCCGGTAAAGATGAGCTCTCTTCTGATCCATTTTGCCAGTTTTTCACATTACCATTGGTTCCTGTATTCCAGAGGTCTCATCAGACCTGCTACATAAACCTCTTTTTGGCCCAATGACCCCGATTTCTTGATGCACATCCATTTGAGCCCTGGTCAGGATCTCTGCTGTTCTCTGGTCCATGCTCGGCCCCCCTTCCATCTCGTGTGGTTTGTCCAATGGTGCAGTAAACACGCCCTTCACTGACAGCTGACCAGCACCATCCTGGACCATAGCAGCAGCAATGCTTTCCACCTGGCTGTTAGGAGGTGAAACCTTTGACTCATTTTTTCATTTCTCCAAAACATTTCTCATATATCACATTTACAGGTAATCCAGCGGCATACCCTGATACAACTTTTAACACCATCAACAAATTCAGAAAATAAACCACTTTCTTGTTCCCGTTTGATATGTACAGCCAGCCATTTGGTGCTCCACCTAGTGGTACTCCGCAGTACCAGACCATCTGACTGTGGAGGAGACACCCCAGTATACAGTCATGGCCGAAATTGTTGGCACCCTGATATTTTTCCTGAAAATCATGTATTTCTCACGAAACGTATTGCATTAACACATGTTTTGCTATACACATGTTTATTCCCTTTGTGTGTATTGGGACAAAACAAAAAAAGGGAGGAAAGAAAGCAAATTCGACATAATGTCACACAAACCTCCAAAAATGGGCTGGACAAAAGTATTGGCACCCTTTCACAACTGCGGATAAATAAGAATGTTACAAGCATGTGATGCTCCTGTAAACTCACCTGGGGCAAGTAACAGGTGTGGGCAATATAGAAATCACACCTGAAAGCAGATAAAAAGGAGAGACGTTCACTTAACCTTTGCATTGTGTGTCTGTCTGTGCCACACTAAGCATGGACAACAGAAAGAGGAGACGAGAACTGTCTGAGGACCTGAGAACCAAAATTGTGGCAAAATATCAACAATCTCAAGGTTACAAGTCCATCTCCAGAGAACTAGATTTGCCTTTGTCCACAGTGCGCAACATTATCAAGAAGTTTGCAACCCATGGCACTGTAGCTAATCTCCCTGGTCGTGGACGGATGAGGAAAATTGATGAAAGATTTGCAACGCAGAATAGTCCGGATGGTGGATAAGCAGCCCCAAACATGTTCCAAAGACATTCAAGCTGTCCTGCAGGCTCAGGGAGCATCAGTGTCAGCGCGAACTATCCGTCGACATTTAAATGAAATGAAACGCTATGGCAGGAGACCCAGGAGGACCCCACTGCTGACACAGAGACATAAAAAAGCAAGACTACAGTTTGCCAAAATGTACTTGAGTAAGCCAAAAGCCTCTGGGGAAAACGTCTTGTGGACAGATGAGACCAAGATAGAGCTTTTCGGTAAAGCACATCATTCTACTGTTTACCGAAAACGGAATGAGGCCTACAAAGAACAAAACACAGTACCTACGGTAAAATATGGTGGAGGTTCAATGATGTTTTGGGGTTGTTTTGCTGCCTCTGGCACTGGGTGCCTTGACTGTGTGCAAGGCATCATGAAATCTGAGGATTACCAAAGGATTTTGGGTCGCACTGTAGGGCCGCCCCAGTGTCAGAAAGCTGGGTTTGCGTCCAAGATTCCTGGGTCTTCCAGCAGGACAATGACCCCAAACATAATGTCAAAAAGCACTCAGAAATGGATGGCAAAGAAGCGCTGGAGAGGTTCTGAAGTGGCCAGCAATGAGCCCAGATCTAAATCCCATTGAACACCTGTGGAGAGATCTTAAAATTGCTGTTGGGAAAAGGTGTCCCTTCCAATAAGAGAGACCTGGAGCTGTTTGCAAAGGAAAGAGTGGTCCAAAATTCCGGGTGAGAGGTGTCAGAAGCTTATTGATGGTTATAGGAAGCGACTGATTTCAGTTATGTTTTCCAAAGGGTGTGCAACCAAATATTAAGTTAAGGGTGCCATACTTTTGTCCAGCCCATTTTTGGGGTTTTGTGTGACATTATGTCATATTTGCTTTTCTGCCTCTGTTTTATATTTGTTCCAATACATACAAAGGGAATAAACATGTGTATAGCAAAACATGTGTTAATGCAATACTCCTTTTTGTGTGAAATACTTGATTTTCAGGAAAAATATCAAGGGTGCCAACAATTTCGGCCATGGACTGTACATTGGTTGTACATTCCCAAAGTTCAAGCATCTCCTTTAATACTTTGGTTACAACCCAACCACTTGACTCTAAACCTAAGACCTTGCCTGACCATATTTAGGGCACTGGGGAACGCTGAGAGACTCACCTGCTGAGACTTGAGAAGTTGAAATTTTTAAAGGGACCTCCTCCAAGTTGGAGATAACCACAGCCTGGTGTTCCACCAGAGTGCTGCCATGTGCTGGGCTCACTCTCAATGTCTCAGACTCAGCATCCACAAGCTGCCCCTGATCATTCCCAGGGACACACATCATCATTTTGACACTCCATGCCAACATCACTTTTGTGGGTCACAGACAGTCTCTGCTGTATACACGCCCTTATCTATAGGCTGTTCTATAGATCCTCCTGCTAGCACAGCAGAAACAGTGTCCACCTTATTTTTTTGCATGAAAACCTCATCCATCAATGAGATTAGCCTTTTACCCCAACTATCCCAATCCATTTGTATATATGTGCTCAATTCACCAGTGCTCCTCAGCACTGATCCATCTGCCCAAGGAGACACATAAGAATAGAACGGGCTTAGTTGCAGATCCATTGCACAAATCACACTCTGGATCAGTCAGACTTGGGTAACACCTGTTTTCCCACTGCAGGTTGCAATACCTCCCATGCACCACTTTGCTCTGGTGGTGCTATCCTGAACTACCCCCAACATTTGCATTTTTGCCAGGCTGCATTAACCCGCTGTTCACCTGAACACTTTCCGTATTGTTAGACTGCACCAACACACTCCTATGACAAGGTTCAGTTTCCACTCTGCTCCACCACAGTGACATCGCAGTTGTCCAGGGCAACCTCCGGGGCTCCAATACACGGAGACCCCTGGAGATGTCTAAGGACACCTGTGCTGTCTTACCACCAGTTGCTACGGAAATGACCCATCTTTAATTACAGCTTTTTGCACTGCAAGAGCTCAGGTTTTCCCCCAACAGCAGTACATTTCACATCAACATTAACATTTTTAGCTCTTGTGGGCTGTACTAGCCTACTACCAACCTGTAACTGGCACACATTGACATCACTTTCTTTTTGAGAACCATGCACAGGTTTTACTTCAGAGCCCCTAACTCTCCACTGTACAAGGCACTGCACAGGGAAAAGTCACTTTCAAAAGCACGTTCAGTGGCCCAACTAACTGGGGTCACTCCTACATCAGAATGGACAGTCTCATAACCAGTCCTTCTCAACATGACAGTCCCAGCCATGGTTTTAATCACACACAGTCTTGCCCACCCCCAGTAGTAGGTGTCACCATCTTCATTTTAGTGCGTTGTCTCATAAACGCATCCTCAACTGTACTTTTCCGTTGGCAACTTTTCCCTTGCCCAAGGTACGGACATCCTGCAGCTCTCTCCTTGCACTGAAGGTTGGCTTGCTTTCCTCTTTAGGTTGGTTTCAATGCTGCCAGGTGCCGCTTGCACCAGTCCACAGCAGACTCACCCACATCTAAATTTCCCAGCTTGGCTGGGGCATGCGGTATATAACCCCCCTAGCCACAGGGCTCTCTCTCTCATTTCAGCAAACATTGCCTCCTTTTTCTGTTTTGACCGCCCCATCTTTGCAGTCATGCACACAGCAGTGTTTTACACAGTTCATCAACACCATGGAACACTGTCTCTTTTAAGGCAAAGGGGGGGGGGTTTTTCCTTTTCTCTAGCAGGTTCTCCTCACCTGCACACACACAGATAGTGCAGACTTATGCACCAAACAGTTCATATAACTGATGAACTTACTTCAAATCACCGGATCTTCAATTCTGCCCACTGCATCCGCCACCATATGTGGGTACTCGCTTCAACGTGGTAGAGCTTTTAAACGCAAACAGCTACTCGCTTTCTTTTTTCAGGGCCTTTTTAGCCCACTTTTATTTAAATGAAAGTTCAAACAGAAGTTTCCCACACAGGGGTATCGATCATCCACAAAAACAACGGTTTCAGCCTCCTGGCTTACACTCAGCTTGCTGTCTGTCTCCTGCAGACTTCTTCCCAAAAATATGGCACTTGCACACCGCTGGCCTCTAGCACACAGCTAGTCTCTAGCAGCCCTTTGCTGCTTTTGGCTTCCACCTCTCCTAGGTGAAGCCCACCTGACTTCCAGGCAGTGACCTCCTGACTCCTATCTGCCGGGGGTGGAGCCCAGAACCCTGGTCCTGACTCTTATGAAGAGGCCTGCACACACCTGTGCAGTCTCCTGGCCATTCCCAAAACCTGGTCCCAGGATTGGAGATTTCATCCCTCCCAAATCGCTTCGAAATCTCCAGGCTCCAGCTCCCAAAATGGACCTTACAAACAAAGGAGGAAAAGCCACTTTCCTCCATATCAAACCTTTACCCTGGAGCCCCTCAACCTGCCTTGTTGAGAATCCAGGGTGACAGATCGCCACACTGTCACAATATATATATATATATATATATATAATATATAATATATAGTAATATATAGTCTCTCTCTCTCTGTATATATATATATATATTATTATATATATATATATATATACACATTTTTTTTCTTTAAGGTGAACACCACTTAGTATTAGGTGTGTGTGTGCCTGAAAAAAAAAACAGGTTAGAGCACTAGCAAGTTATCTTAGGAAAATTTTTAATAATGCTGCAAAATAAAATTTGTACTGTAACATAATTTCTAAGGTAAGCACCAGCTCTCAGGCTGGAGAAATGCTCACACACAGTCTATGCGAACTCACTGCATAGGTGCGGATAGTAGCAAGATTTCATCCTCAGATTGTAAAAACTGTGGAAGGCCGCAGCAACATTTTCAGGCACGCATATAGAAACTACAAAGGGCAAAAAGTTTGTTGTGCCACAAATCACATCAGTGGCAATAAATTGTGTCTTTTGTCAGGCAGTGTCTCCCCTCAATACGTCCTAAAGTTTGTTGGGTGGGAGAGTCACCTTTCTTTGGTCAGCTTTATTTCATGTCCTTCTCAGCTAGTCAATGAGCATTTGTACAGACAGCCTCTGGTTTCACTAGAATCAGGAGATATCAAATCGGCAAAAGAAGAATTGGCCACAGTTTTTTTTCTCCCCCCTGGTGCTCAACATTTCAGGCTTTGACACACATTGCCGTGGCTGCCCAGTACAAATTGCTCTGTTGAAGTCACATGATATAATTAAAGGGATAGTCCACCTTTACCAAAAATCTGCCTATGCAGTTAAGGTGTGTCTCTAATAAAAACAAACTGTGCAGCTCTGACAAAAGTTGAATAATGCCCTTGTTATAGGTGTAGGGACCATTTACATACCTCCTGAACCCTGTCTGGAAAACTCCCAGGGCATTGCTAGGTGGGGCCTAGTCATTACTACTTACCTCTACCATCACAGGAGTGAACTTTCAGAAGATGAGCTCAGAGCTACTGCATTCGGGGAGATAAAGAACATGTGAGGGGCTTTTATTCTGAGAAAAATCTCACTCCTGTGATGGTGGAAGTGAGCAGTAATGACTAGGCCTGACTTAGCAATGTCTTAGCAACATCATGGAAGTATTCCAATCAGGCTTCATGAGATACATAAATGGCCTACACCTATAGCTAGGGTATCATTCAACTTTAGTCAGAGACACACAGTTTGTTATTATTCACAAACACCCTTTATCTGCATAGGCAGGTTTCTGGTAAAGGTGAGCTAAAACTTTAAAAAAGGTACATTCTAAAACTTGGCATGTCAATAATTGGCAGCTGGCTCTGCCATGCTTACACTGGAATGGTCTGGTTCCAGGCCAACCTAGAGTCTGCAAGCAGTCTGTTAGCACCTGCAGTCTGTGGAAATGTGAAAGGCTCAGCATGGTAGCTTGTGGCTGGGAGAAGAGGGAGTTGATGCTGCTAATGGAGGCATTACTTGAACAGTGGTAATGGTGCTAGTGGAATGCCTGTATCTGGCATTACAATATGTGGACCCTTCATTATCAGAAACTTCTGATAACTTTAACCCATTTATTGTAAACAGCTACTTCTTTTGTTGTTTCCTGTATTTTTTGTAGCTCCTCTTCTGATGAACCCAATTATTACCAGTATGATGTGGGCTGAATTACAGAGAAGAAAGGATGAAGGGCCATGTTGTCAAACAAAATGATGGAGCTGCCCCACGTGATCGCACTGTCATGTGGGTTGTTAACTAGGGAACTAAGAAGAAATGGACTACTCCTATATTGTTAAAATGGAGTACGCACAGAGTGCAATGTGAAACACTATGGATCAGACTGCATAGCGTTGTCAATCTAAGGAAGAGGTATTATCAAGTAGAGGATTACCATGCATTTAGTATAAATTAATATATTTTCTATGAAAACTTGACCACACATAGGAAAAAATAAGTAGGAAGGCAATGACAGAATATTAAGAAAGAAAAGGAAACTCCGCGCTTAGGTTATAAAAAAAAAAAAAAACGCAGAAAAAAAACAGCCAGCCCCAAAAACTTGTACAAATAAAGTGCAGCACTATAAATGACCAAATACATGTGAAATACAAACTCGGTCATGCAAATGAATTCAGCAAAGTGGATAAATGCAATACACAAATATCAGTTCTAGAAAAAAAAAGCTAATTATATAGGGAATATTCAAAGATTAACATATATTAAAGTGTCCATCAAAGCAAAGTCCCATAAGTAATAGCAGTGAAGAGTAGCAGCATAAAACAATACTCCAGACAGAGAGCACTGGATCCTTCAGTAAAAGCTTTACCACCAATGAGAGAGGGAGGAGAGAAAGCACTTCCGCAAGCACCATGGTGTATATAGTTGTAACTTACCGGATTATATGACCACCAATGAAGGAATGGTCACAAAACGCTCATGTAAAAATCAACATGAGAGAACCAATAAAAAGTATTACCAGGCAATACAAACTCCAGGATATAAACAGACATTTTCCCTTAGCCCCGGTTCACACTGGTGCGACTTGTAATGTGATTTGACAGATCAAAATCACATGACAATCACACCGTATTGTGGGCTATGGAACTGTTCATATCAGTGTGACTCTGATTAGCATAGACTTTGAAAAAGGTTCCTGCACTAATTTTTGTGATTTCATGTGGGACTTGCATTCACATCTGTGCATGAAGTTGCACAAATGTTGCCAAGCTGCATGTGAAGTCACACTGATCACAGCTTTGAAATTGCGCTGAAGTAAGATGATATCAAAGCTGCATTCGGTATGAACCAGGGCTTAATTATGTAAAGGAACCATTAAAAATGGTGTAGCCATCCAGTCCAGGTGCTTTATTCACCTTTATTCTGTCTAAATATTTTTGGATCATATCAACTGTTTGTTCTGATATCTTTTGCAATCTGTGATTCATTTTCAATTTTTGCAGCCTTTATTTCCTTTTTACATATTCTGTTATATTCTTTGCAATGTTTAAATGATGATAGCGTGCCTTCATTTGTATATTTAATAAAAGCTCTTTTCTTATTATTTATAGCTTTTTTAACTTTGGCCGTAAGCCACATAGGTTTGATTTTTAGCCTTTTAAACTTGTTGCCCATGGGCATATATTTTGCAGAGTGTTCACATACAGTCTTTTTTGAAGAACTCCCATTTCTGTGTTTTGCTGATTGATGCCAATATTCCCTCCCAGTCTTGGAGAGCAGCACTCATCCTTGGAAAATTAGCTCTTTAAAATTGAGCATTTTTATTTTTCCTGTGTGTGCTTGTTGTTTACAGCTAAAAATCAGTGAAATCATGTTATGGTCACTGCTACCCAGATGTTCTTCTATATGGACATTAGTAATAAGCTCTGCATGGTTTGAGATTACCAGGTCCAGCAGAGCATCATTTCTAATTGGGGCCTCTATGAACTGTACCATGCTATTATCCTGTAGTAGGTTTATAACGTTTTGTCCTTTAACTGTTCCTGCAGTGCCATTACTCCAGTCAATTTCTGGTTAGTTAAAATCCCATACAAAAAAGAAAAAATTGCCATAAATAGGGGTGTATCCACGCATCAAAAAGCTTTTCCCTGACTCACCATAATTGAGGTGTGGATTCTAAACCAAAAAGCTTATATGATAGGATGTGTTCACCATGATTCCAATGTCTACCTTTTCATGATCTAATTGATCTCAATAAAATATCTGCATCCACTATTAATAGTGAATATTTACTCGGCATATGATTCATAATATACCGTCTTTTTTGGCAGGTCTGCTCTTGTCAGCTGCTTAACTTTATCTTAGTAGTTAAAATTCCCCATTATTATCACTGTCCCAGCCCTTGCAGCCATTTCTATCTGTGTAAGGAGCTTAGTCTCCACCACCTCCTCATAAACACTGGGTGGCCTATAACAAACTCCAATGATAACCTTTGTAGTACGCACCCCCAGTGCAGTTCCACCCATAATATTTCATCCTCATCACACTCTCCATCAACTAGGCCCTCTTTTACACAAGTTGACCAAGTAGGAGGAAAAGCATTAGGGGACAGATCTCAATAAGGAGCAGCAACCAAACGATGTTCTGAATGCTTTGCTCCATGTATATATTCTTTTCGACCATGAGCAAAAAGTGTTCTCTGAGATATTACATCCCATCCTATTTAATTTAAAAGTGAGTGTTGTTTCAAATAGGTCAGCAAGGTTCTGAGTAAGATATATAACCAGATATTGGAGCTTCTCTTGATGCCACTGAAAGGGTGAGTGTGAATGTAATGAGAAAACCTCAGAAGTAGAAAAGCTGATATTCAATATTTCAGATTTGAGTCATCTTAAAATTTGAATATTTCCTACAAGAATATAATTACTTAAGAAAGTTAATAAACTGCTAGCTTATGCTCCTGCCAGATAATATATACTTCATGCATAGTATATCAGAGTTCAATCTATTCTCATTCACAAGTGGCTCTAATGAGAAAACAAATAACATCAATGAAAGGGCTCACCCTTGCCTTGTCCCATTATATAAGGTAAAAACCTAGTCTTACCGATGGCTGACAGTGGAGTGCACTAATGTTGAGTAAGCAATATAAATTAGCTATAATATACAAAATACCATTTGTAGTCCCTCTTATAAAAGAGTATCTTCTTTCTGAGTGCAAAATCATATTACTAAGTCTGAAATCAACTTTAGTTACATTATTATTGGAAAAAAAGGATAAACCCAACAAAGAAAATTGATTGGTCTCACAGTTGATTTTAGGTGATGTCTTAAAATGGGTTTCCTGTAGACATACAATAAATGCTAAATGATGCTTACATTTGCACACAATTACAAGTCTTTTAACTGGTTAATTCAGACCCCTGATATTGTCTATAGTGAGAAGTTTTTGCATGACATTGAAAAAAAAAGCTTTACATAGTAAAATAAATAGAAACAATTAGTGAAAATGTGTATCTACTGT